CATCTCTTGTGCCCCCAGGACAGGGTGGGGGCAGGTGAACATCGACACACCAGCTGGATGCTCCACCGAGGGCTCTCAGCTTCAGTGTAAGGAAAAATAAGGTGATCTTTAAGGGAGGTGGGGAAACGGGCAGCGCTGGCTGCTTTGTATTCTGCTACCGACAGGACAGAGGAAATTAGTTTTCTTTAAGCAAGCTTTAAAAGGACAGGAAATATCGTGGCTATTTCGGGCTGTCCTCGGCTTACCCCTGCCGGCGGCGCTGGGATGGGAGCTGGGTCGGGCTTAAGGCAGGTGGAGGAGGGTGAGGATGGGGCTGCGGATAGAGATGGGAATGAGGAGAAGGATGGAACCAGAAATGGGGTTGGGGATATAAGAATGGTGCCAGGGAGTGGGCTGGGGCTGAGCTCACCTGGGACAGGTGCTCAGCACTGGGGGAATCACTGCCAAGCGATTGGCAATCCCCAAGCCATGAGTGGAACATCCACAGCGATTCAGGTTTCCCAGGGCCATTATTCCTACCCCAGCACTCAGAACCATCCTGGCAGAGCCAGTGTTGGCACAGCAAACAGCCTTTATCAGCCCCATATCCCAACCTGTTTGCACTGGAAGTTTGTTTTATCATGGAACCACTTTAAACTGTGCCCCTTTTGGGAGCCCTCTAGGTGAAAAGTCAGTAAACCAGAGGTGGTGTTACTCCTTTGTCTTCTTTTTCGAAAAGGTGGAACAGGATCCTGGCAAAGTCCTCTTGACACCCCCCAGCCAAACAGGGAGGAACCCCAATTTCCAAGAGACTCCAGCCCAGCCTGCTGGAAATGTTGGAGCCGATTCAGGTCAATTAAAGTTGAGGTTTTTATTGAATTAAAGTGTGAAAGTAAACACAGCCAGCCCAGTATTTGGGCTGTTATTTTTTTGATGTTAATTTTTTTCACCCCACTCATAAAATTGATTTAGAAGGTGGTAAGGATTCCTGGGCTAGAGGAGACCTGAGAAATGGTTCTGGAGCTTGGAAAGGACATGGACACGTTTCTTACACCTGGGAAAGTGTGCAGCAGTTCGGACGTGAGGAATGAAAGTGCTTCTGGCAGCAGCAGCCAGGTAAAATCCAGGAACAGAGTTGGAAAGGATTCATCATGGGATGCACTGCCTTGGCTGGGGAGCCCAGGTTGTCTCCAAGGCTGCCTAAGCCTGGGAAGGAGGTGGCTTTTGAGCTCCAGTTGGGATCAAACCCCTGAATTTGCTCTGGTCAGCACAATAACTCACATTGGCAGAATCCACTGGGTACAGAAACATTAATTAGAACAGATCCCACGTGGGCAGTGTCCCACCAGCCCAGGGATCACCAAGGCCAGAGCAGAGGAGGAGCCTGGTGGGGCCTGGACCTTCTCTCCATTTTTAATGCCACGACAAGATTTTCTTTCCAAAAAGCTCCCGACTGCGGCTGTCTGTGCAAGCCGAGTATTTTTAGCAAGTATTCATGTGAAACAGCTCGGGATAATAATTTGCAATGTAAAGTTAGAGGCTTCCACAAAAACTCAGAGTAAGCAGATTTGGGTCAGCAGGACTTTGTGCTGATTTTGCTGAAAGGAACCATCCAGCCAGGTCCAGGGGAGCTACATGGGGCTGGAGCTGGTCACGGAGTTTTCTGGGTAATAAACCCTCACTGTGCCCACAGGATCAAAACTTGAATCCCTCCCTGGATTGTGACTCTGCAAAGTTACAGATAAATGTTTCACATGTAAATAGTCACATCCAGCACAACAGTCACCAGGAGTACCTGCTGCCTTTCTGGACTCACATTTCCCCCCTGCCTCATTTTGCCATCAATGATCCTTGAGCAGGAGGGAACAGCTTTTAGAAAACAGCATTAATAAATCCAGCTCCTCACCCAGGGGTAACCACAGAGTGAAGGTTTAACACCATGTGCCAGGGACTGCAAAGCTCTGTTTGGGTGGGAGTTTCATTGATGTGAGGATGCCCACGGCCAACTCAGCATCCAACCCAGGTTACCTGCACCAGATTAACGAGGGAAAGAAGTGTCTCACATTTTTAATTGTTTTAATAAAGAAGAGAAGCATCTCTATAGGTAGGACATGACTGGGCACCACATCCTTCATTTTCAGGATGACACCATCTCATTTTCTCACACCTCTGTGACCCAGAGGAAAACCTTCTATGATTTTCTTGCTTCCTCAGCACAAAGGAAACTTCTGTCCAAAGCAAACAACCAGAGTAAATTGAGGATGAAATGTTCCAGCCCCAGAAGGGACTTTTGTCAAGGCTGGGTTAGCATCTACCAGCTGATAATTTCCACCTCTGTCCAGTTCCTTACAACTGGGGCAGCAAATGCCACATATTTTAATATAAAATGGGGTTTATGTGTTTAGACTTTGTCATAACGGGTTATAATTAAAATTTAACTTTAAAATGGACTACTTTTAAGCTGTAAGTCCATAAAATATGTGATCAATTGTGATGTGAGGCCTCAAGGGCTGCCTGCAAGCTTGGTGCAAAACTCACTTTTAATAGGGATTTGGTAACAGAATTAGAACTGCAGCAGCTGAGAAAAAAACCCCAATACCAGATGGGAGCTGTTCACTAAATGGCTTTTTCCAGTTCCATACATTCTGCTTTTAACAGCTGTTATGGGCTAAAAAAAGTCCAGCATAATCATAAATGTTAATAAATACAGTACAAGTACAGGGCTTTTTTCCCTCTGTTTTGCTGCCATTCTTTGGGGTTCATATTCTTTAAGCTCCTTTCTGTTCTGTACCACAAATACAAGTTGTTTGGGGTTTTTTTTGGGTTTTTTTTCCCTTTCCCTTGGGTGAAGAAACACCTCTGCAATCCCTAAGATTCTTGCTTTGGGACTTAATTTTGTCCTCACACCAATAGTGAACAACTCCTAGAGCTATTAAAAAATAAGTGCTCAACCCACTTAATCATTATTTTCACTGTGTTTTGAATACACAAAATATTAGGGCACCATGCAGCCTTGTCACTGTATGCATTTGAAACACTTATGGGTATTTTCAGGCAGCAGAAGTACTTTAAACATTTTCATGAGGAAAAAGTCAAAACCAGGGAAAGGCACAGCTCATCAGCACCAGAGCCTGATGAATGGGTTGGTTCTCCCTTCCCCCAGAGCCAAGGTTTAAGCACTGAGCTCATCCCAGGCCAGAACACAACACAGAGGTCAAAATCCTTTGGAAGAGAGAGATCCTTTTACCTGGACTTATTTCCCAGGGTGTGTTACTCTGTGCCTCTGCTGGGTGGAATGACAGGGACTGACAACATGAGCAGCTCCGATTGCAAATAAAAAAATCTTTATTGCATCTTAGAAGCAAGTCTTAAAAAAAAAAAAAAAAAAGAGAAAAAAAGGGAGGAAGGAAGTAAGGAGAAAAAAAAAAGAGAAGGAAAAGAAAAATTTTCCATGCACCTACATCCTTGGGACTGTCACCAGAAAATGATGAAGACAGTAAGACACAGACTCTATGCTAGCTGCAGTTCATACTCCATACACGTGTAAACAATGGTTATTTCTTCTACTGGAATAGCAATTGCTCTGTAAGATCCCTTCAAACGTGGCAACAACCACCTAAACCTTGGGTTTTCTCCATTCCTTCACTTCCCTCCACTTCCCAAAGAGCAGGCGAAGTGGAACTGAGGGCAATGAGATGAAATGGGGCTGGAGGATACGATAGAAAAATATATTGTTCGCTGGTTTTTATTTTTTGTTTCTGCTGAGCAGGATATTTACAGATTCATAGGTCCCAAGAGATCATCAGCTTCAATGACAATGTCCATTCACTGTCTAAGTCTCAGTGTACAGGGTTCCCTATCTGGCTTTAAGGCACTTTATTTCATGTATTTTCTCTTACCTTGCTAGGTGTTAACTCATAGGGATCACACTTTCCTTGTATTCAGCCTCCTCATCCCCAGTTCCTCTTAGAATACCAAAAAATTCCTAAACTCACTGAAGTAATTCCAAAAATGTTAAAGAAATTTAGGGGGAAAAAAAAAGATTCATGAAAAAATATTTTAGAAAGTAATCTTTGGAGATCATTTACTGTAAGTATGATGTACACTACCTTATCAGTGAGAAGATGCAATACATTCCTAATATATATATATATATTTACACACACATATATATATATATAAAATATTAAAATGACTAACAGATATTCAAGGAAAGGTCAAGAACCTAAAACAATGGATATTAAATAAATTAACGGTCTAGCAGATACAGGAAAAAAAAAATAAAATCCCAAAACAAAACTAGTAATCAAATGTAATAATTGTTCCCATTAACACCACGTGACGGACTGAACGAATCGATGCGATGGAGCGCGGGACACTCGGTGCAGAGGAGTTTTCCAAGCTTTCCTCAGGGATCTTGGATTGTTCCTTGTGTGCTGTCAGAGATTCCCATTTCCCAGCCCCTTCAGCATTTCCTGGTCACATCCCTCAGCCCTTGGGTAGCAGCTGAGGACAAAACCCAGAACCCAGCAGGGATTCCCCAAACGTTCCGTCCGTCCGTCCGCGGACCAAATATCAAACACAACAATTTCTACCAGGACTAATCACGGCTTGTGCTTATTCCTTCCCTTGCCTGCCCATAATAAATGGAGGTGTATTTTTAAATTGAAGTAATCAGCTATCAGGGAAAAAAACCAACCAAACAAACAAAAAAAAAAGCCCTCCTGGGATTACCACCCTTTCTCATCGCCACAGCGACTCGGATTTTCTAACGCAATTTGAAAATTAATGGCTAATCCTGAACCAAAGGAGCAGAATCTTTGCACGGTAGCAGTCACACCAAAAACATTTAGACACAGCGTTTTGTCACTTGGCTTTGCACGCTCAGGTCCACATTTACAGATTCCCAGCCATGAAGATGGCAACAGAAATGGTAGGAAACAATCTTTTGTTCATAAGGAAATTCTAATTCAAGTCATATTTCCGCTGATCAGGTAACTCTTAAACAACTATTTTTTTTCTTTTTTTTTGTTTGAAGGCAAATATTGATCACAGTTTTGTTCAAAACCAAAAACACAACAACAAAAAACCCCAAGGGCCTTGTTCTTCTCAAAACGAGCGCTTTGTAAGAAAACAATGATGATTTCTAAAATATATCCTGTGTGGTCTTTTAAAAGTGAATTATCAAAAAACATTTTCCCAAAAATAAATTAGATAATTAAAAAAAAAGTCTTTTCCAGCATAGCTGGACATTAGGCTGTCCTCACTGAGCCATTAGTATTGCTGCTTTTCCCAAAATTTGGGTCGTTTTTTTCAAACCATATTTCAGCCAGCTGTTGTGTGGACCCATATGTTGAAGCTTTGGACCCCAAGCACATTTTATATTGTTTTGGATCAAGATTAGGGTCACAAAAAACAGGGTGATGCACATGGACTACTCCAATTTCTTGGCTTCTGAAAGTTTTTAAGCCAGCTTGAATGACTTTGTTAAATAGATCTACGTCTTCAAGGCCCCAGCCTTGGATGGAGACATCAAAGCCACCTGCTCGAAGAAGGTCACCTTTGTAAATGCAGGTGATACCAAAGCCATAGTTCCTCCAGAAACCTGTTTTCTGAGTGAAGGCAAAATGATTGTCACTAGGAACCTTTCCACTATAAACAATCTTTGGATCATACTGGCTAAAAATGATGGGAAAATATACTTGCTGACCCAAAACTGTATTGGCTCTACACCGCTGGAGGAATTCTGTGGTAAACACTAAGTCAACATCACAGAAGAAAAGTAAAGACTCGTTCTGGAACTGAGAAGATCCGACTTCCAGAGCCAGTGCCCTTGAGAACTCCCCCGACACCGGCAGAACCTGCATGTCAGCCTTGGGGTATTTGGAGCGGTAATCTCTCATCAGCTCAATCTGCTTGGCTTTGTCAGGGTTGGAGTTGGAATTGAAAAGCAGGACAACCAGCTTGACGTTCTGGTTTGGAATGAGGCACGTCTTTTCAAAATTCCCCATGAACCTCGCAAACATGTCGAACCGTCCGGAGAGAGGGATCAGGATGTTGATCTTCTTGTCTTTGAGCTCCTTCCTCTCTGCTTTGGACCTGCTGAGCTGGAAGGGGACAAACATCTTCAGCGAGTTGGAGAGGAAGGACAAGGACCCAGAATCCTGGTTGATTTTGCTGGCCAGCTCTTTGGCGTCCATCTCTTCGTGCTCCATGAACTGGATCTTGCTGAAGGTCTGCTGCAGGTACGCGTGCCTCCTCACGGGGACCGTCATCTTCTTCCCCTTGTGCTTCTTGTAGAGGAGCAGCAGGTCCAGCACGTACTCTGCTCCGTACATGGGGTTCACCCTGCGGTACCCGTACTGTATTTCCTTGAAATCAATGATTCTCCCCCGCGTCTTGGCATTGGCGTTGATCATTTCCATGACCTGCATCACGATGTCATCCAGCGCCTCGCGCTGTGACGAGTCCATCCCTCTCCGCGGCGGCTGCCCGTCGGCGCCCGAATACAAATATTTCCCCGTGAGAAACTCCCACTCCAGGATCTCCTCCCGGTGGCGGGGCTGGAACCGCATGAAGGAGGGCGGCATGCCCAGCTGCAGGTCCTCCTTGTGGATTTCCGTGTTGCTGTACTTGCTCATGAGCACGATCTCGCGGTGCAGCTGCACGGTGCGGTGCCGCAGCTCGGCGATCTTGCGGCTCAGCATGTAACTGTGCAGCCGGTACTGGTACGGGGGGTTCTTGTTGGGGTGCAGAGTGATGGCTCGGTGGATTTTGCTGTTCCTCAGGTCTCGGATGTAGCCTTTTTTGTTCTTCTCGTAGTTCTCATAAAACAGCTGCTGCATCTGGAACAGAGAGAGAGAGGAGAAGTCAGAGACTCGGCAGTGCTGACCCTGTGAAAGTTTGCCCACACAGCCCCGCTGGGAGAGAATTCCCCCTCGCTCACAGGGCCAGAAAGCTTTTTGAATAAGCTGTTCTTGGGTTTAGGCACAGGTTGTAGCAATACCAGCTGCTATTCAAGGAAATTAAGAGGATTATTCATTGTAAACTGGTGAAAGAAACATCTATCATGGATTTGGGATTATTACAGCCCATTCTAGAGGTATCACCGGCGGCCAAACAATCCTGCAGTAAGTCGATTGTAAACTCATTTCTTCACAACAGCACACCATCACCAGGAAAATAACACCGTGAAGTGTTCACTACAAAACTCTCATTATTCATTTGTTTCCCATTGTTTTAATCTTAATAATAAAGAAGAATAAAAAGGGATGCCATGTACATACTAAGCAAATCTGACAACACCTTTTCCATTATATCCAAAAGCTATTTAGGCATTAAAAATCCAGGTTTAGGCATTAAAAATGCAAGTTGCTGAATGTTTTAGTCAAGATACCAAATATATTACCTCAAGTGCTGCAGTGCAAATCTAAGCTGTCACTTTAAAATGACAATGGACAGCAAAGTGCACCTGAGATTCCTAGAGTTCCACAAGTCAGGTAATAAAGGATGCATGTGTACACCAGAATAAAAACATCCTTAACGTGGCATTTGCTATTTCAAAACAAGCAGATAGTGAGCTGAGATTAGATTCACAAGTCTTAGGAAAGCAGACAAACCAGCTTTACCATCCTCAGTAGCTCAGGCAGTAGCTGATTATCGTGACAGACAAACCAAGATGGTAATGTGGAAAACAAACTGACAAAAACACCTTGAGACCCAAGGTATACACCAGCTTAGATGGTGGAAATTTAAAAAGACCACGGGCAGATTCTGTGTCACAGCAGAAACGTCGTCAACCTGCCAGAGCTGACACAGCACCTTCATTCAATATGGGATCTAATCTCTGTTACTGGCAATGGAATCTGCCACAGGAAACACAGCAATAAAGCTTGTGTAGAAGGGCAGCAAAGAGAACCCCCCCCCCAAAAAAAGGCAGGGAGAATGTCTCAAATATGATGGCAATCAAACAGAGCACTAAAAAGAAAATCACCAGCAACTTTCCTTTTACCAGCTGCTCAGAGGCAGCACAAGTCCTGTTTTTATTAGGTCTTGGGTTGCATTTTTCCCATTATTGTGGACAGACACTGAATCTCAGGGATAAACTTACACCTGGGTTTAATTGCTGCTATCTTACCAAGCTGGCTGTGTGCATGCTGAACCTGACATTGGGCGAATCGCTGCCGACAGCACGGAGCAAGCTGAGCCTACTGGGAGCACGGATTTTAATCTGAGCAAATGTAAATCACTGCAAAGGAGGGAGGGAGGGATTCCAGCCAGGCTGAGAAAGAAAGGACATTTATTTCGTGGGTCACCACCAGTCCCCCACCCCCTTCTCCTCCAAGTTCACCTTCTTCCCGCTCTCCCCAAGTGATCCCTGCTGCGTGCACGCTGTCTGGGAGCAATCCAGGCCAGAGGATGGATGGATCTGCACAGCAAAGCAGCCAGAGGAGAACATCTTGGCCATGGCCCCTTGGCAGGCCTCAGATGAGCTGCTTGTCGAAGATGGATAATATCCCTTTAGAAGTCATGCAAGATTTAAAAGAGCGCTACGGGCAGAGGTTAGCTGGTCTAATCCCACGTCCAGCAGAGTGATCCAAACTGAATGAACCTTGTGCTTTCCCAAGAAACACGTTTTTTCCACTCACCCTATTCTTCAGGGTGAAATGACTATCCTTCATTTGTATCTCTGTATTGTTTCCTCTACTAACAACACTTTATTTTTTTGGTCACTTTGAACCTTCGCTGTTGCTGTGAAGGGCTCTGGGAGACTTTAAATCACACCCACTTAGGGTCAGTCCTGTGAGCACCATTTATTGCAGTGGAGAGCTCTCATGGGAAGAACAGGATCAGTCCAACACTACAGGACCCACTTATTTCACTGACAACACTGATCTATCATCAAACACTATGCATATGTAGAGCTAGAAGTATTAAATGCATGTGGTAACTAATTTCACTGATATTTTAACAACAGCTATAGGCAGAGGATTTTCCAGGAGTACTGTGACATCAGATAAAAATTTTTAAATCACATCATTAGGCTGTCATTATTTAAGGGAAAATTTCAAGTGTTGTTTTGAATTTATAAGACAACAAAATCAAGACCGTGCAGCCTGAATGCATTTACTCCAAAATTGCTACCTAGGGCATTCTGAAGAGGAAACCATGACAAGCAGAAAGGCTTTCAGATTACACAACAAAGTTTAATAGAATACTGATGGGTAGGAAAATGTTATGAAACTCCCCAATGGAAGCAAAGATAGAAACCCCTAGCAAATGGCACAAATTAAAATTAAGAAGCAAATTTTAAAGCTCTGGCTTGCCACTCAGGAGTAACCTCTTAGGTAGACCGGTTGCCTTCTAATCCTCCTTCCTGCTCCTTCCCAAAACTTGCTTTAAAAACTGAAAATAAAACATATCTCAGCAGCAAGACTTTACTGGGGCTTCAGCACAAGGCAATTTACAACTGAGACATCTTTTAACAGCCACTTTACTCCAGCCAAAAAGGTGACAACTGCCCAAGTCCTGCTCGGCCAACCCTGCGGTGCAGCTAATGAGAAGCACCACAGTAGCCAGGCTTTTATATAATCCTATTTTTCAGGAGAATGCCCTGCAAGGCTGGCACGTTCAACATTTTTCCTTGGAAGTCTCCTGCTCCACGTCCCCCCCCCGTCCCCTTGCATTCAGCAGACGGCAGCAGGCACGGGGTGTGCCAGGATCCTGCAGCTCCAATCCCCCTTGGGGAGCCAAGGGACACCCCACACCAGCAGGAAACACAAAGAAGGGTCCTGGAAGGGGTTAACCAACTCCCTACAGAGAGTACAAGGAGTTACAAACTGTTTTTTCACAGAGACACCAAGTGCTGTGCACAGAGTCCAAGTGGCCAGTGGCCAACGGAGCAGTTTAACCCTTCTCGGGCAAGACTGAGACTGTGACCCAGTGCCACAGAAGGGCTGTGAGGTCCAAGGGCTTTGCCCCAGAAACCAGCCCCACATGGATCATGGATTGTATCTGCTCACCCATACCTACAGACTTGCAGGGAACGAGCAGCTCCCTCCACGCCGTTTGACAGCTCCACCAACACTGATCTGCTCAAATCATTAAGGCTCCCCAGCACTGGGTTCAATTACTAACAAGGGCAATGCCCAACTATCAGAAATCACTGCTAATATAATTTCTTACCATATTTGGGTCCAGAACACTATGCTAAATATCACCAATTAGCACACACTGGCTTTTGACTCCATGAGACACTGGAAAGCCATAAAGAAAATACAAAATCATAATTAACTCGTGCACATCATCAATAGGTGGGTGGAAGAAGGCCATAGAGAAAGGAATACCTGTGATTTATTTGCTCCTCTCAGTCACTAAACACACACAGGGGGACTGACACAAGCCCAGGACGTGCACGTCTCCCAGACATTATGTGCCAACTTCTCCATGCCTGCTACCAGAGTCTTGAGAGCTGAACTCTTGCAAACTCTTCTTCTAGTGAAACAGGTTTGCTCTATGATTCTTTTTTTTTTTTTTAAAAGAACCTTTCATGGATATTAATTCTGCAATGATTATATTCTAAGCATGCTTTATTCTAGTGCAGAGCACTGAGAGCATAGGGATACAAAGAAGAGCTACTCTTTATTGACCACTATTTACTCTAGACCTGTTGAAGCCTTAAAAACCCTAATGTTCCCCAAACCATTAGAGACTGAATGTTTAAACTGTGGTACAGCTGTTGTGGGCACTGCTGGCTCATGTCCAAAAGACCAACTGAAAGGAGAGAGTGTTACGTTCTTCGTTTTAAATGAAGAAGTCTTTTGCAGGCCAAAAAAAAGTGTACTGGAGAAAATGGACCTTAAAAATGAGACCAGTTTATGCAGAAACTGGCCTGCAGCCACGGATTAGCCCCCGAGGGCTTTCTCTCACAGCTCCAGATTGTGCTACCAGAGCCCAGAAAACACAACCCCACAAGCCTCACGAAAAGCAATCATGGATAAGACATGTTGTATGACAAGTTTCAAAACGCCCAAGATGGGCTTTAAATACAAAGCCCGGCTAATTAAAAACCCAAATGATGGTTAATGTCACCTAGCTCAGAGCACCTCTGTCAGGAGGAGATGAGGATGTGGGTCCCAGTGTGGAGCTGTTCTCCTACAGGAGCAATGCAGCTGCTGGGACAGCCCCTACCCTGCCCCACAGCTCTGCAGCCAAACCCAGGCAGGATGCTCCTGTCCATCTCCTTCCAAAGATGTGCCAGAGCTGGTGCAAGGGGGCAGCTCCTGGTGGTTGAAGTGAAATTAAAGTATTTCTGTTCCCACATCCCAAGGAACTACATGAAATAACTGTAGCTGCACTAGCACAGTTTTGCAATGATTAACCACAACAGATCTCCACTTTCCTGGTTTATACATCATCAATATAGCTAAACTGATGAAAAATTTTGCAAAGGGAAAGGAGCAGCGGGGCTTTGTTCACTGCTGGAGGGGAAGACTGTAGGGACTTCCTGGATGCAACTCTGTGTATTCAGGGTTCTTTCTGTTTAAATCCTGATGCTTTATATCCCACAGCTAAACTGACATGACTGAAGCCACTCCTTCAGACCGTTATTATGGTGGAGACAAATACAGGGAAGTAATGGATAAACACTAATTTCCAGTGAACTTGGCCACTTGTTCATGGCTTTAACCTCCCCAGTTGCCACTACAGGAAAGGATGCAGGAAATGCCACTCAGTGCTGGGAGATCAGACTTCCCTCTCAGCTGGCAAGTGGAGCCCTGAGTGCTGGAGCACGATTAAATGATGTGATTCTTCAGACAAGTTACTTCTCACACAAATTTCATCA